CAAGGTTGGAAAGGCAAAGAGTCATGGATAAACTCCTCAACTGTATTGCTTTTCCAAAGCTTAGTTTAGTTGTACCAATCTCAGTCCCAATTCTGCATGCAACACTCAGAATTGTCTATTTCTTTACATCTAAACAAACCTGAACCTTAACTCTGAATAAAAGTGCTCTTTTTTTGAAAATCAAGGTAAAACTTGACTGTTCTTTTTTTGCCCTCATTTTCATACCACTTAAATTACTAAAACTTTATTTATTTGCTTAAATTGCACAGCAGTTAAAGCAAAGAAATAATTTTAAATCCAGACATAAAGCAACCATCTTGAGACAATGAAATATCAAAAATGTGATGAGGTCATTGATTAAAATGTTCCCTTCAGCAAACAGTAAATAAATGACAACATGAATTCCCATTTGGCTCAGGAAAGGAAGACAGCATAACTCACTTCAATAGATGCCAAAGAATCATTGATTATGAGGGATCAAACTCTTTGCTAGATCACTAATATCAAAGCAGAGAGATTAATCATGGGCTGCAATTCAGAGAAAACTGTTGCAGGATGTGAGGAACTGCATTGACTTGTTTGTTCATCAAAAGTATGAAATTAGGATAAAAGTGGGGGGAAGTCGGGACATGGAATTTGCAGGCTTGACTGGTAACCACAAACAAAGATTGTGAAAGATTTTGCAGGACTGGCTGGAACTGATAACTGCAGTGGAAACCCATTGTTGCTGAAACTGATAACCACGGTGGAAGGAGACCCATCACCCCTACTTATGCAGGATAAAAAGGGACTGAAGAGAAGGAAAGGTTGTCAGCTTTTGGCGGAGCCAGGCTCCCAGCTGAACCCAGCGCTGTTTTGCTTGCTATCGCTTGCTGTAATTAATAAAATTATTAATTGATCTTAAAAGGCTGAATCAAATTATTCGCCTCAATTTATAACACAGGACCCTTCACTGCTTTTGATCTATGAAAGTTAGGTTTACCTTTGGCAGATCCCAGTGACGAGGCTCACAGAACAGTTTGGACACAGCCATGTCCACTGCAGTTTTACTAAAACCTCTCCAAGAGTCCTACTAATTCCATAAAACTTTTAAATGCTTTTGGGAAGACAAAGTACTTTTCAATCTTTGTTTATCCTGATTCAGTTGTTGTGAGAGGTAGTCAATCACTGAAGTAGCTCTTAGCTGAAGAGCCTTGCAATATATTCTGTGCACCAAGATGCATTTTTCATCTGACACACACAACACTTCTCTCACATCAGCAACTTGCATGGTTAGTCTTTGTTACTGAGAATTTTCTACTGGAATAACAAGTATCTTAAAAATATTCGCTTTGCAAGGAATAAAAGATAAAGCACAGCTACTGCTCAATATGGTTTTGCTTGCAAAAGAATTTGCTGTAGGTAAGAACATAGTTAACTAAGTGGAAGTAGGGTAAGAGACTGTATCTTCTCTTACCAGAAACAGACCCAAACCTTAATCATGAAGTCAGTATTAAAATTCTGTTCTCAACTGGAACAGTGTTTTTTTTAAAAAAGTAATTTACAGTAGATATTGTCATACAAGAATATTATGGGGTTTTTTTAGTGCTCTTTTAAAGAGGAGCTCAACCAGCCTCTGTAATGAAATTAAACATGAAGATTTACTAAGGTCATAGTCTTAAGCTCTTGATGAAGTCATCCACAACTTTTCAGATCTCCATCCAAAATTCCTTGCACCCCTCAGTGATAAGCCTTCAGCAGACTCTGGGGAAATTATTCCATTTGGTGCTTCTATACAATGTAGAAGCTACAACTTCACAAGAGCAGATTGACTCTGATTGCACATCTAATATCAGACAGCCCTAACTCTCAGTAGGATTTTCAGAGAGAGACTATTGACTTAATGTCCTTATGTGTCAAACCAACAACCTGTAAATCATATGACAAAGTGTATGGGGAGTTAATTTCTGAGGCCAGACAGGGGGATAAAGAATACAGCTGAACCTAAAAAAGATTGAAACTCAAATCATTGATTTCCTGAGGCAAAATTAATAAAGGTTTTCTTCTCATACTTTACAGTTAAACCTCAGACTTCTTTCCTGCAGAAAACTTTCTGTTGGCTAGCATAATGAATCCAAAAGTTAGTTTTTTCTGTTAAACCCATTAAACCCAGATTTAACTTCTCATGGCAGTGCATTTTGTTTTTTTCCCTATTTGTCCATAGTGAAAACATGCAAAAAAAATTCTGAAACTAATGTAGGGATATAAAGTGCATTTACTGAAGAAAAAGCAGAATAAAGAACATTCAATGTATTTAGTATGCCAAAATTTAAATTTATTTTATTGGTAGAAGTTGTTTTGTGAAACAAGAGTAAATTTATCCTTAGCAAAAATTCTACTTAAAAGGTTAAAAGTTCTCAATACTTCTTTATTCTAGAAGCAATTAAGGAACATCCAAAATATAGTATCATTACCCTTATTACAGCATTGGCTGCCTTGAGCTCTCCCCTATATTTTATCATCAAGCTATACATTTTCTTCTTGACAGATTGATAACTCTGGTCTTGCTGCTTACAAGCACCAAATGTGAACCAAACCAGTGTGGGGACAGGGACAGGGGCGGTGTGGTGTGCATAAAGAAATCTTTGTGGTATTTCATTCTAATATCACCCAGTTTTCTCCTGTTATATTGTAAATGTGTCTGTTCTCAGTGCTACTGCATGGAAACATGGAAAAAAATACCAAGAAGGTGAAATGAAGGTGAGCAATGAGAGACAGGATCATCTGCTCAGAAATGCTCAGTACTGGTCTCATTCTTGCATTTAAGAGCACTGTGCTTTCTTCTTTCCACTCAAAAGAAAAGTAGATTTAACCAGTGGAGGTCAACTAATCTAAAATAAAATAAAATAAAATGAAATAAAATAAAATAAATGAAAATGCAATAAAATAAATTAAATTTAAAAATAATAGAAAATACATTAAAATAAAATAAATAAATATTTAAATATTTAAACAAAATAAAATAATGATAAATGAAAATAAATGAAAACATAATATGAATAAAATATTTAAATATTGTAATATTATTTATTTATATGTAATTTTAATTTAATTGTATTTTATTAAATTTTGTTTATTTAAAATTTTATTTTAATTTAATTTCTCTTATCTGACAACTAGTTTTACTTTTCCTTTTAGAATAATTTCAAATTAATTTTCAGTCTATTTGCAATCTTTTTGCTTTTATCTTCAATATATTCTTGTCAGCTGAAGATGACATGAATTTAACATTTCCTTGCCTCTTATCTACTTATATCCACTTGCTCCTGTAATTATTTATAGGGACAGAAGGAAAAATCTGAAATTTTAATCCACTTGTTTGGTGTCATGAGGACAATTTCTAAGGTCATAAGACACCGGGGAGGATCTGTTTCCATAGGCCTACTATGCTTGTTGAGGTTCAAGACAAAGGCAATTATTATTCTGAGGGCCATCTGACAGGAGCTGTTGGCTACAAACAAACCTCATTATTGCCATTGACTGCAACATGGAAGATGCTCCACTACTGAGGAAAAGGCAGCAGGACAAATGCTAAAACTGACATCAAAAACATGACATGTGTCTTTCCTTCAGCTGAGTGTTTTGTATCCAGCCCCCTCTATTGTACAAAAGCCAGACTACTTTATAAAGTGAACAGCAAGAGCGATGTGTTAACAGTGTGGTACTTCTGAAATCTCCATTTCATATTAATTAATTGATGGCTCTGCAGATAGTCAGTGCTGGTCAATCCCAAACTGCTGTTATAGTTAATAAAAGACCTCTTGTGACCCTACTTTAATGCAAATTAATAAAGAAATGCTTGCCTAAAGAAGTTAATCACATTTTCTTATTTTAATGTTGTTGTGGTGCTATGAACCTTCTCCAAATATAGTAATCTGGAGAGAGGCAAAACCTGTTGTTTGAAAGCTACAAGAGCTTTTAATACTGATTGTGGACATTGTGACTTGAATAAACAGTGTTTGTTGCAAGTATTATATCTTATTGTACATGAGAAAAAGTACTTACAATACTTTACTTGGAATATTTTACTGATACAATTTTATTTTTTTTTTTAATTTGTTCTGTTGAGTGACATTAGCATCAGCTGGAAAAAGGAGACATGGAGTTACATTGCTGATGTTGAGCTGTGCTGCACCACGTACACTTGACACTTGCAAACTTCCCCAAATCCCTCTGCAAACACAAAAAGTCTGACAAGCCCCAGTGAGAAGCATGAAGTTTCCTGCATGATGTTCAGATTCTGGTGAGTCTTTGTAGTAAGGATCTGCTCTGTCATGATCTGACCATCCTCTGTCCTCTCATTTAAGCAAAAAGAGTTACAGACATTTTGGTAATGAATTTTGTTTGCTGGGGAGAAATGCACAGCATAAGCAACAACTGCACAGAAAAAGCACGTATCAAAGGTTTGCTTCAATCATAGTGTTCCTTTTACCCCTTTTTCTTCTATCTTCTGAATGTAGATTAGCACTTGATTGCAAGTTTAATCTCATCTACTTATTTATTTCCTTATTTATTCATTTTAGCCATTGTGGCTTGGTGATACTGTCCCAGTACATAAATACTGACATCATTCTCTCATTTGATCCAGTGCCCAGTGTTCTATGAATTAAATTAATTACTTTTGCTTTTTAATTTTTCTAATGTAAGTAAAATGCTAAAACAAGAATAATTAAGAGATTGTTTTGAACATAGAATGGTCATGTTCTCAAAAGTTGAGTTATTTCACAGATTCTCCAAGGGGCAGTGTGGGAATATTTTTCTATCTTCACTGTTTTCAGCTACTTTTTATTATTTAAGTCATATCAGGTCAGGACTTCATACTTCCCACTGGCCACAAGTGTGTTTTAAAGTCAGTAATACACCCAGATACATCAAAAGTCCTACTTCCAGTGCTCTGACTCTACCACTTCCCTGGGCAGCCCATTCCAATATCTAGTCACCTCTTCTTTGAAAAAGTTCTTCCTAATATTAAAGTCCAGTAACACCAAGTCTTTTGGAGAAAAATACTAATAACAAATAAGCACAAGTTAATTTTTCCCCTGATCTGTGAGAACATCACTAGTACAAAAATCCTGTTACTTCTGCTGGAGTTGTCTTCCACATCCTAGCTGCAAGTACCTAGGAATTATAGGAAAGAGAGAGAAACTGAGATTTTTTTTTTTTTTTTTGGCTGTTTAAATCAGACACTTCTTATAGTAAAGCAGTAAAAATTTAGAAGAAGCTTAAATGAGGTCCAAAACTGAAGCAAATCAGCACTGTTCCTAATAGTAATGGAAGTGCTTAGTGTTACATTACTTTTTCAGGAACATAGTCTCCTTTTTGAAGACAAAAAGCACACTTTTTTGGCCTTAAATTTTCTGCTCAGCTTTTGTACTTGTACAAGGACTTTCAAGCCAAACACTTCAGTACTCTGTGCATGGCACACTAATCATCTGTTGAATTAAAAGCCTTAAGTCCAAGAACTCTTTCAGCCTCAACTTTATTTATCTAGTCCTTTGCTATTATTAGGCCCTTTATGTAAGAGATTAATCTTGTAAAATTCCTTTGCATATGAGAACATGCAAATTTGCTTGTCTTACTGCAGTATCTGAGGTGGAAATATCCAGGTACGAACCAGCTGGGCTTATTTGATAGTCACATCAGCAGAGGATTTCTGCATTAGAAGCACGTCCAGCTCTGGAATAATCAGGAAGCAGCTCTGCTCAGTCACATCATGAGAGGCACCTGCAGTACAGGGGGGTGTGGGAAGTATCGCTGAAAAGCTGCTGCATTTATTACCTAGGGAAAAAAAATCAATTATCTGTTCTGAGGTAACAACAGTCTCCTGGAAAGATGAGAGGGAAATAGCAGCAAAAGAGGATTAATGGAGCAGTTAGTGTGGTATTGATTAGGCCTCTGGCTTGTGGGACTTGTTCTGGATTTGGCTAAAAGTCAACTTTACCCAAATAATGACTGAATAGATTTTTTTCAGTGATAAGAGGACCAAATCCTGCATGCAAAAATAGTAGAGAAGAGAGTGGGGTGGCTGTAATGCTTTATGAAGCTGACAGTCTCCCAGAATATTAGTTTTATGCAGAATAATAAGGCATGCAACTGTATAAAATTTTCATGCTATTTTCCCCACCTCTTTCCACCATTAACACAAACC